AGCCAAATTGCTCTCACCATCCCCAGCTGCTGCTGCTGCCTGCACGTTCCACCTTCCCCACAGCCACTTTAATCCATCAGCCAAGAGCAAAACAACCTTCCCCCGGTGCACCTCCTGCAAACAGGGCAGGGAAAAAAACCACAGGAGGAAAAAAACACACATCACTTGCAGCATTTTTACATGTAATAGTAACAGTCTCTTGGTGCCATCATCAGCCATGGCATTTCATTCACACAGAACACTTGTGGGCACATCACATATGCTTTTCCATTCAATGTATTTTTAAATGTTTCCCAGGCAACTGTTTCAATACAATATGCCTCCTTGGCAACCTGGTACCCGCAAATGCCATGCTAGTCTCCCTAGTCCTCTTTTTAGGCCTTCCCATCTTGGCATATAAATGTCACAAGGCTGGGTTTTCCATCTCCAGCCACAGAGGTACTGCTGTGTCCTCACACGTGGCAAGGGAGGGCTGAGCTGAAGGGATGAGTCGTGCACTGGACGCTGCACGTTGACAAATCCAGCTCTGGTGAGCTCCCAGAGGGAGCAGGGTTCGAAGGCAGTGACTCCTCATGGAAAAGAGAATGTCTCCTACAACTAAAATTAGGGAGAGCCTACGGAACTGTCTCCACTCAAGTGACTTGCTCTGGAAACAGCAGTGAGCCTGCACTTCTCCAACTGAAACTGCACGTCATCCTCCTTCTCCTGACTGTGCCAGAGGAAGCCTTGCACAGTTTTCCTCATTCTGTGGCTGGAATTGTAATACATCATATTAATGAGGAGGGGCAGCCTTTCCCATTGCAGTGCAGACAGTGATTAGCACTGGACTAAGTGACTCTTCCCAGGGCTGCATTTGCTGGCACTGGGCTGTCAGGACACACACCATAAAGTCCATTTGCTGCAGCAGCTCTCCTGCTGCTCTGCTCTGTGGGCTGTGGTCTCTTTGGGGACACTGTCCTTTATCACATTTAGCAGAATGGACACACTCACCCTTGAGAGAAGTCACAGACTGCTTGACAAGGACAAAAAATGATCCACATGTACTCCTACCCCAAGCACTGATTAGATAAAATAATTAAAACATAATAACGTTTCAATTTTCTAGTAAGGCACAATTTATCCCAAACATCTTTATCGGACCCAGGAGCTATCAGTACAGACCCAAAGATACTGCAGAAGGACTAAAGCTATCTGTGAACATCAGTCACCACCAAAAAAAAAAGTTTTAATAAAAACTCCATGTGCTTCAGCCTCAGAGTGGTACATTAAAAAAAATAATAGCTCCTGCATGCAGTGACATCAGGCTCTGAGAGAAACCCAGCAGAAACTATGGTATCTCTTCTTCATTGATTACTCCATAACAACAGCTGAAAATTACAATTTTTCCAGGCTATAAAATGCCAAGCACTCCAAATTCTACACTGGCAGCAAAAATCTCCTCCCTGTCTGTGAGCTGCTGTATCTGTAATAGAGACCCTGCATTACCAGGCTTTCTAATTCTTCCCAAATGCAGAAGCTCTCATTCAATGCTGCAGCTGTTGGGGAGGAAATCAGAAATAGCAGAAGGCGGATTAGTTGATAATGCACCAGTTCTTCCCCAGCAAATGCTGGCACCTGCGTTTTACACTCTCCGCTTTCCCTCGGCCCAGGAAAAGATCACTTGGTTTGTTTGGCAGGCAATTTATAGGCTTTAGTGATTGTGGAGTTGCAAAAGGATTAGAATTTGTTATAATAGCCCCTTCTTCCTGAGAGCAAAAGTTAAAACTGAGGCCCACTTTAGAGCAAGAACCAGGGACCATGTAAGTAAAGATTAAGCGTGTGCAGCTTGATGAGACTCAACGGGGAAGAGATAACTACACATGCTGGCACTCCATTTACAAGGAAATCCCTGCAGATAATCTGTAGGAGCATTCTGGCTTCCACAGGCTCAAATCTCTTGACCACTGGCTCAAATCCAGCCAAGGCTGATTATGGTAAAGACTACTCTCTGCATTCCTAGGAGAACTTTTTTCCTAAAACATTCTAATTATTAAATTACACAAGACCCAAGGTCAAGCAAGAAGTAACAGGATTCCCATGCAGTGGAAGAAACAGTAGATACAACCTTGTGCAAAGTGGCAAAACCAAGAACAGGTCCCAGTCTACACTTCATATTCTTAGTATTCTTAATTCTGGAATGATGCAGATGAAAAATACTGAGTACCCTTAATGGTCAAAGATTTCTAGAAGGCAAGTTGGAAATCCACAGGTAGAGCAAGAATGAGAACAGTCATGACATGCCTGCCCTCACAGGTTAGAATGGGTATGCATTAAACAGATAACAAAAAAATCTAACAATTTTCAGTTAAACCTGCAAAATACAAACCCACCTACAAAGTACAGCTGCTACAGAAGCAAGGTTTTCCCTTCTGCTTTTTACAACCAGAAGCTGCAGTAATAATTTTCACTATTCTTTTTATTATATTCTTTCATTTGTGGCCCTTACTGCACAATAACCAACTTTTACTTTCACCCATAATACAGCTTTTGGAAATGCTGCAGCACCACACAGCAACCCCTCCAGCCTGAAGAACAGGCTGCACTCCTGAGGTATGGGAGAAATCATACCTAACAGCATCAACCTGTGGATGCAACACGTGGTTTAGGAGCAGAGCATTGTCACAGTGGTATCCCAGGGGTCATAAGATAAAAAAACCAACCCAAACATCACAGGAATAAAAGCAGCCCTGTGGTACAACCAGTCATTAACACAGGTACACCTACAAGTGTGTTTGGAGGCTCCATCCCAGCGCTTTCACTGCCCTCGGATTTCGTTAAATCCCCATTTCTGCATAGTTTGCTGCCTCCACGTGGCCACAGTCAGCGCTGGGCCACGATTCACAGCAATCTTGAGCAAAACCCCCCAAGGAACACTTCTTCAACTAGTTGTGAAATCAAATTTCTACCCCTCCTCTGTCATCTCCTTTCCCACCACTCCCATGGCTGATCCCCTCTCCAACCTCCACTTTTGCTTCATTTAAACACACTTCCTCTTGCCGTTCTTTGCTCTGTCTCTGCTGCCATCACCTTCCTCTCCACAGCAGGCCTAACAAACACCCTCAGATCCAAACTCGCCCCTGTTCAGCTTACCTTGTTCCACCTGCAGCTTCTGGGAGAACGCCTTTCCCGACAAATAAGGAGAGGGGGACATGTTTCCTGGAATCTCATTTCACACACTGGGAAGCAGCTTCTAAATGGTGACAAAAATGACAGGCAGAACACTGCGACTGTCCTGGTGTTCCCTTGGCGCTGCAGGAGCTGTAACAGATATTAAAGTGGGAAAATGTTAGTCTCTGTGACAGCGACTGGCTTTTCCACTGTCATTTCTTTCCCATTTTTATTCTCATTTTAGTCTACCCATCACACAGCCAAAATGCTGGCACACTACTGTGACTATTTGTTATTATTTTTATTTTTCAGCTGGGCTGTCTATTCTACAAACTGACACAAATCCCAGCAGTAACCAAACACTTCCCACTTCCAACGTCTTTATCCTTGCTCTTACACAAAAAGGAAACCCATTAATGCTCCTATAATGTTAAGAAATTAGTTATTACATAGAGTCAAAGTTGTGATGGACTCACAGAAACACGAAGTACCTGAGTTAACATGGGAAAGGTGAAAGCTGGGCTGAGCCTCCCGGATCTCGGGCTGCACTGACGGGATCATCTGCAGCTGGAAAACCACTGGATGTGGTTTCCAATGTCTGGCTGGAGCTGTCACTGCTCAGGCCGAATCCACCAGTCCAGGTGAAATGTGAATCTCGAACTCTGACTCCCAAAACGCCACTTTCAAGGTTCAGACCTGCTCAAGGCATGTTTCAGGTCAGGTCAGCTGTTAAAGGAATAACTTTTTGCTGGGCTGTGTGATCGACACGGTAATTCACAGGTGTGGCTTTAGTACAGTCAACAGTGATGCCTCCTGTTTGCTCTGAAGAATTCAAGGATGAAACAGTCCACAGACACCCAGCGGTGCACAAATTCAGTTCCAGAAAAGGAATGTGAACTTGGATTCATTTTTTTTACCAATAATAAATTGGTTTTATGGAAAAGAAGAGCGCTTTGTACCCCGCTCTCCCTGATAAACACCTGTTATCAAACAGGACTTTTTATTATCTTGTACAGTTATTCTCATATTGACTGCAAAGAATTTAAACAGCAGACTCACTTTGTGATCCCTTCATCTACTGTTAGGGGATGAAGTGTGTGTCACCATTTCTCTGACGTGTGTTTGAGAAGGCCAGACGGGCGTTTAAACCCACCCCTAACACGCTCTTTATTTCGAGTCACCCAGCGACATTCCCGCCAGCAACGTCAAACTGCATCACTTCAGATTCTTTCCTGAAAGATAAGCTGGACCAGCGGTGGCTCCCAATCCTTATTATTTGTGTGAACAGCGGCGGCACCGGGCCCAGGCCGCGGCTCGGCGGGGCCATGGCGGCCAGCGCTGACCCCGCCGCCATCTTGTGCCCTCAGCGCCTGGGGCTGCAGCGCCCCGAGCCCCCGCTCCCGAGCGCACCAAACCGCTGCACATACAGACGGTGCGAGGGGCAAAACCAACACAAAAAGGGCTGTTTCCGAGGCAGACCAGCCCCCAGCTCCGCGGCGAGGGGGGAGACTGCGGGCGGGCGGGCGGGCGGGCGCGCTCCCCTCAGGGCGCTCTCAGAGCCACCCCCGCCCCGCGCCGTCAGGGCGGCTCTGAGGGCGGAGAGCCGCGGCCGTGGCAGCGGGCCAGGAGGAGGGAGGGAGGGAGCTCGCCGCCCGCAGCGCCGTCCCCCGGCGAGGCGCGGGGAGCCCCGGCCATGGGGGAGGAAGGAGCGGCCAAGCTGCGCCTGAAGCCCCGCGCGGCGCCGCCCGCCCGCGGCCCCGAGACACCCCCGCGCCGGCCGTGAGTCGGGGCCGGGGGGGATCGGGCCGGGTCGGGTCAGCAAACACCGCGGGGATCCGATGGGATCGGGCCGGGTCGGGTCAGCAAACACCGCGGGGATCCGATGGGATCGGATGGGATCGGCCCGGGGGGGTCGGACGGGATCAGATCGGCTCCGGGGCCTGGAGCGCCTCGCCCGGGCCGGGCCGGGCCTGCACAGGCCCCCCCAACCCGCAGCGCTCGGATCAGGGTCTCATTACTGACTGTGTTAAAGGTTATTTCATAAAACACCCCCTGTAGCGCCTTTAAAAAATAGACACAAAACTGCAGCATAAAGCACAGCGGGCCCCGGGCCTGAAGACTGAGGGCAGTGAGGGGTTGGGTTCTTGTTTGAAGCCGTGTCCCCTCCACAGAGGCTGTGGGAGTTCATCACTCCGCTCTTTGAGGGCTTGTACTTTCTAATTTCTTCTAATTTCTTCCCAGTGCAGCTTCATTCCTGGACACTGATCCAAGAAAACACATCAGGAAGAAGTGGGAAGGCTGGAAATAGCATTGTGACATTAACAATCCATCCTTCTTTTGGAATTGTCTTTCTCTATGGCATTACTTGTATAAAACCTTTTTAATGCTTGTAGTTAAACTTTCTAAAGCCTTCCTAGGATCCATTAAGTCAAGTCGTTTGGAAAGAGAATTTCAAATGGCAGTATGGGAATGGCCAGGAATATGCAGGAACCAATGCAATTGCCACCCTCAGTGCAAACATTTCCATGATTTCTGTGCTCAGCAGGTGTCAAGTTCAGCATTTGAGAAAAAAAACCCAGTATCTACACTTCACTGTTTCACTTGGAAGTGAAGACAGTACTAAATATCCACAGCTCATTTGTTACAAGGAGAAAAGAGGGTGTTTAGACAGTCATTTTTAAAAAAATTGGATTTTTTTTATTGCAGCACAAGTTATATAAGTCTTAGGAAGCTGTGAAAATTAGTTTACAGGTTAAATAATGTCTTTGTGTTCCAGAAAAAAAGAGGCAAACTAATACCAGTGCAGAGCATTTTCTTCCCTCTCTCCCACCCTCAAACTACTGTGCCTGTCTTTCCAGGACCTCAACTGACAGATGTCCCTGGTTTGAAAAGGAAGACTTAAATGAGCCTGAAAAAACCTGGGTTTTGTTACTGAAAGACATCAGTCAGGATCTGCACTGCACAAACTGGGACACAGTGCCCAGCCTTCCGCAGTTCTTGGAAAAGGTAGTGTGTGCTGTATCCTTGGTTTTTGCACTTGGTGTCCTGTGTCCAGCAGTGGCAGCCCTGGATTGATGGGGAAACCACCTGAAGGAGCCTTCAGAGCTGTGAGGTTTCGGCTCTTTAATCTCACATGTAACAATGTGGCACAGCGTGGCAAATCCTTTCCAACATTTTGCTGGGAAGAAGAGGGGGCCTGTGTGAGGGTGGTGACTGCCACAAGCACCAGGATCCTCCTGAGGAATGGAAGTGGGAAAGGCAGCCTGTAACAGAGGGTTAATGACACAGCAACCGCCCTGACATTGCCCCGTAGCGTTGGGCAAGGTCACAACGCAGAAATCAGCCCTTACAAAGTACTTTTTGTTTTTGAGGTGGTTGTTTTTATCTTTAGTGTCTCTGAAACATACTGAGTCCCCACTGTATCCCTTTAGAAATGTTAAGGGAAGACACATATTCCATCAGCTCCAGGAAGCTCTTGATTGCTTTACAAGGTGCTGGAGAGGGATGTAAATAAAATGTTCTTTTCTTCACTGTAACTCAGCCTTCTCAGTATTTGCAGTGTGTTCACTTTATGTATTGATTGAGCTGCATCTGTTTGAGACACGGTGTGTGTGCTGCAGGGTGCTGAGGAGGAGAGTCCAGCACACCAGGAGATCTTCACAGCTGGAATGAGAGACTTTCCGTGGGTACCATTCCCACCTTTTCACACAGAACAATGTCTGAACCCCAAGGATTTCAGCTCCCAGAGCAACGAGTCACATACAGGATGGGGCCAAGCAGATAAACTTCCCAGTTTGTCACCCACAGCTGAGGAAACCTGCAGGGGAACCAGCACAGATCGAGGCAAACCTGCAGCCGGGGGAGGCACAAAAGGCATTTCCGACCTGGGAGTGAGTCCCGAGCCACGTCAGCTCCCTGGACACAGGAGCTCTGCACAGCCCTTGGCACAGGGCTCTGGGAGAGCTTCCAGCCCTCGGCAGCACCACACAGGGGCTGCACAGAGCAGGGGAGGCAGGAGAGAGAAGGGTGGGAAGGAGCTCCAGCCACAGGAGGGGAAGGTTCCAGCGGGGCAGGACAGAGCTGTGCCTGGGGAGGAGCCTCCTGGGAGCATTCCTGGGGCCGGGAGCTTCGAGGAGAAGGTTGAAAACCAGAGTGGAGGATCTTCAGCTCTCGACAGTTGTCCCATGTGCCTGATGCAGTTCAGTGGAACGTAAGTTGTCTGGGGTTTTCTGTTTTGTGGGTGTTTTTATAACTTCCCAGTAAACAAACCCCCACCCGGTTCTGGATGCATTCCCTATTTACAAAATAATGAAAATAGACAAAACTTCTGCTGCAAAGTTCTTCTTATCTGTCATAATTACCTGCTGTAGTCCAGTTCACATGTTGAGTACCTGCTCTGCAGCAGGAACTGTGCTGTCTCCTGCAGTCAGCACCATGGCACAGTGCTTAGGCTGCCAGAGCTGCCGAAAAAGTGCTTTTGGGCAGGTCCTGTAACCCTTAAAACCCTCAGCAGCAGGTACCAGCAAGGGCAGTTTCTCAGGGATCACAGCTCTGCCGGGCACAGCAGTGACCCCCCATAAGGACACGTGTGAGAGGGAGGGGAAAGAAGTGTCAGTGAAGGGCTGTGACTGTTTCTCACTGCCCGACCCCTGTCTTTGCAGGCTCTCCCAGCTGGACATCGATGGGCACCTGGCCAGGTGCTTGTCTGAAAGTGCAGATGATGTCATGTGGTAAGTCCAGGAGAACAGAGAGCAAAGGAACAAGGCCAAGGATGAACCTTTCTCAAAGGAAAAGGAAAAATGTGTCAAGGAAGCACATCCTCGACTCACACTTTGGGATCACAAACCAGTAACTCAGTAGAAGGTCAAGTGTCGAGGGTCTTTTTATTTTAAATCCTCTCAAATGCACGCAAAGTAGCTCTAGTTCTGAAAATGGTGCTCTGGGGAGACCCCCAGGGAAATCAGGCTTGGTGCTCCTGAAAAAGTGTCCTGCTGGAAATCCCTGGAGCCCCTGCTTGGGCTGATGCACCAGAGCTCGGAAGCTCTCAGTCCAGAAGAAAGCAGCTGCACAACAGACAACTGTTACCCTCATCCAAAAGTTTACCTGCTTAGAAAAAAATGCCAGTAAATCTGTGAAAATCAATTTAATTAAAAAGTCATTTGAGCTTAGAATTTTTCAGTATTTTACTAAGAAAGTGTAATTGTACCACTGATTCTGTGGGTGTGTCCCTGTTAAACACCCCCCAAACCACAGAAAGGGGTGGGGGTTCCATGTCTCCGAAGGAGCCCAGCTCAATTCACACCCTTCCTGGGTAGGTTTCTAAGTCAGTATTGGTGTTAATCAAGTGATTAACGTGACTGCTCTCATTAAGCTGCAGAGAGAACTCTTCTGCCAGTCTCCTGACCTGCACAGGGAGGTTCAGGCAGTCCCAGAGCCAAGAGCTGGTTTGTGTCAGTCCCACACGGCCCCAGACCCCGAGGAGTGGGACGGGGACACCCCCAGCCTGGGGGGGCTGGAGGGGGCTCAGCTGCTGTTCTGGGAACTGCTGCCCAGGACAGGGAAAGCTCTGCAAGGCTGGGAAAGGGACCCCCCCTGCCCTGAGGGCTGGTGAGAGTCCAGGACCAACACCCTGCCCCAGTTCACTGCCCCGGGCTCAGAACCTACAGCCCAGCTGGGATCCAGGTACAGGACACAGGTCCAGGAAAACACACAGGGAGGCTCCTTGGATTCCAGTCCCAGGGGGGTCTCCTTCAGACGTTGGACACAGCCCAGTTTACGGATAAATAATAACAGTCTGTTCACTTTTTCATTAAAGTCTTTAATAGATGTGCAAGAATATAAATGATCTCAGCTGTTATGGATTAGTATACCATCTTCTGCACAATTAAAACTGGTCAGCAAAGATCCCAACTAATTAATTATACAAAACTACAAGAACATATTTACTGTTTTACAATCATTAAATTAGCTAGAATTTCATTTACTATTTCAAATAAGACAACTATATATCATTACCAGATCCATTTGTAATATATTAGGATTTTTTTTTCCAAACCACACATTTAATTACATCCTTCATTTTCTTTTATTTATAAAACAAGTACTTTATATAAAAAATTTCCCCTTCATCATGAACAGAACATTATTCAAACACTTGCACATGAGCAACCAAACTTGTACCCAGCAAACTATTTGGCAACACAGCAACATTGTAAATGCCTGTAAATTCTTAAATAAAAATCAAGTAGTCTTTACAATGTTTGTTTAGCAAAATGTGTCTTCCTGTTCTTCCTTCCCTCCCTCCCAAAATGTTCTGAAACCTAGAAAAAAAGGTTAAAAAAAACCCCAACCCACATTTCTTAAGATTTCCAGTTTCAAGTTCCATGCCCTGGCATGTCAAAGGACAGCTTAACCTGCCCCATTTGCACTCATGAGCTGCCTGCAGTCACTCTGATCACTCCTGATCACCTTTAGTACCAGGGGAGTTGAAAACACTGAAAGAAAAGTTATTCAGGGTAAATAAAATAAAAGAGGGAGAAGGGGGAAAGGGAGTAATTAAAAAAAATGTCAGATTACATTTAAAAGGTAATGTTGCCTTTAGTAGATAATAAAGTATCTAAAGTCCAGGCATTTGAGGCAAATATTTCTTACTAGTGAAATTATTTAGTGCTGATTAAAACGCATCTTGCTTAATATGAAAAGCTACAGTCCAACAGAGAAACCCACAACTGAAACCTGAATGGGATTCCTAGAACTCAACAACCACAGGTCTGCATAATTGTGGCTAATGAGGGGATACAAAACAGATTGTTAATCAGTGATTAATTACTTCAAACAATGTTTTGGCAGTCTGGTCCTAGCACCTCATGACTTGGATGTGAATCCCAAAGATGTCATGTTCAGCACCTAATGCAATGCTGTACCCTGAGAAAACCAGAGGTTAATGGAAAGAAAGTGAAAGTGTCCCAATTTGTCCTGCGATTGCCACCCCCTCAGGGAGATGCCACGGCACAGGGTCGGCACAGGGTTTCCCCTTGGCTTTCCTGCCCACAGAGCTGGTTTTCCTCCTGGCTCTACAGCCCCCCAGAGTGTGACCCCCCCAGCCAGCCCGGGGCAGCAGGGACAGCCCGGCCCCGGGGGCTCCCCTCGGACCCTCCCCAGGAGCCTCCCCGAGCTCAGTCCTGCACCCTGGGGGAGCAGCAGCCCTTTGCCCTGACACCCCCCTCTCCACCAGAGGGGACTGGATAGTTGTCTTTTGCTTTTTCCAATTTCTTAGGCGTTTGTTTTTCTTCCAGTAAAGGAATTTCCTACTCTGATGCAAATTCACTTCTGGAACCATCCCATTCCCTGACACAGAATGGTTAGTTATTAATGGACACTGAGGAAAGCAGACAGTTTATAGAAGTAGGAGGTGTGCTTTATCAGGAAAAATGGATTTTATCTTATGGTTATTCTAGATTTACTACTTAAACTTTAAGGCTATGCTTTATTATGCTTTTGCTCTACTTCTGAATATTTGTATTGTTGATAAAAATACTTTTCAAAAATCTAATATACAACACAAGATCATTGTAGGTGTAGGCACTGCTTAAGTATGTTTAGAAATCCTTTGTGTGCAAATTTAGTTCTCTTCAATCTCTACATTTTGGTAAATTTGGAGTTTTAAGACAACAGATTTTGAAACCGATACTGTAAATTCTAATTTGGAATTAATCTCACGGAGTCACTCTGCATTCCAAATTCTGTAAAAATGCAACTAAACCCCAGGCTGCAGCTGTGAACTGTATGTTTCAGATGGAAATGGTTACTTAATATTAACAAGCAGAACTTACCAGATGTAAGAACGTTCCAAATATGCAATAATCCTTCAATGCAGTTTATCCATTTAGGCACTTAAATCCTGTACCCAAATTTATGTTTTGATTGCTAATAAAACACAACTCCTTTTAAATATATCTGAGACGTTTTAGACAGGTACCACTTGTGAAAAAAGGCATCAAAAATAAGCTTCAACACCACCGTAATATATTTTATTCTTCAGGATGTTACACTGGAATACTCTTCAACTGGGAGCTCATTGCATCGAATGTTTGTAGAAAGTGTGTGGATCTCAAAGTTTCTCATGATCTCCTTTTGCAGGGATGCAATGAACGTTTGAATCCTTCATGAAACAGGCACAAAATGCAAATTCCTTCATTAATGAAGCCAGTCGTGTCAGTGCCCAGAACTCAAGAGTCACTAAGTGGCAGAGGACACCCACCAAAACCGTTATTCTCTTCTTTGATTCTCAGCAGCAAATTTGTTTTTAGATCATTGGTCTCCATCCCGAGTGAGCAGTCCCAGCCTCGCATGCATATACTGGAGTTAAGGATAAATTAATGTCAGTCACACTGTCCCCAACCAGCTCATCCCTTCATACTGTTTCTTCTGTTGACAGCAACAATGGATTAATATATTCAAATCCTTCAAATTCTGACTGATCTATTCGCTTTATGATATCTCTGAAAAACAAAGGGAAGCAGCGGTTTAGTTCACGGGAACAGCGTGTGAGTTAGGCAAGATAGGGAGGGTACAGACAATGCAATTTACTGTAACCCAGCTATGCCCTAATGCCAAGCACAGCCTCTCTGCAGCCATTTCACACAGTTTCTGTGCTAACTGGTTGCTGTGCAGCCGGGGGGGGAGCAGCACGTACTCATCGTCCGGGGTGAGCTGCACGGGCTCGCTGGTGAACTGCGTGTCGAAGTTGTCCAGCCCGTAATCGTCCGTGATCTGCGGCTGGAACGGAGGGGTCGTCTGCTTCTTCTCCAGCTGCCAAACGTGCCATGGGAAAGGAAAAACCAGGGTATGGAACAGTCACAAAATCCCCCCAGGAACATCAAACCCAACTGCATTAAGTGCTACTGGAGAGCAGTGTCAGAATGCCCAGGTAAGGTGAGGAACAGGCCAGGTAACACACCCCAACACAACCCGGGCTCTGCATTGGAAAACAGAAACCCCAAATAACCCAACCATGTCAGTTCTCTCCTGAGCTGGGAGCTGCACTCAGGAGTGCACTCAGCAGCCCTGAGCCATCCTGAGCACAGAGAGCAGAGTGAGGAGCCTGAGCTCCACACACAGCTCTGGTGACTAAACCAGCAAAAATGTTCCTGCTCTGTGTGTTCCCTTTCCCTGTATTTATTTTTCCATGTAGCTCAAGCTCCACAGAAGGAGTTTTTAGTCAGCATTAGACTCCTTTCCTTCGGTCTCAACTTGAAAAGAGTTGGAAAAGCTTTTAAGTCAATTTTTTTTCTTTGAAATGGAGGGGGTGAGTACAAGATTCTAATAACTGACAAAGCTTTCCAAATATTTTTTAATTTTCTCCTGAATGTATTTCCCAACACTTACTTGGAAGTTTAGCTTTAAATTTATCTGACATGTCGATCCCCCTGAGCAGCACTCTCCTAATCATATCACAAAACAGATCACCTCAATCTTCCCAGTTTCTTTAAAAAATAGGTATTTAATATGAGAGCTTTCAGATGAAAAACAGCTTAGAAAATATAAAAATTCAATCAGCATAAATGGTGACCAAGAAGTACCAGCTGCATTTAAGAATTTCTTACACCAATAACAGAAATACAAATGCAACAGTCTTCTCTATTTCCCTCTGCAAAGCAGAACAGAAGCTGCAGTACCTGGTGTACCACGAGGTACTAACCAAAAAAATCACACTGGGCTTTTAGAGGGAACACAAAGCAAGGGATGGCTGACAAAATCACAGCCAGCCCTCCCTGCAGGAACAGTTCTGCAAACACCAGGGGTTTTCAGCTCTTCCTGCAGTCAGTGTGTTCTCTGCAGAGCTGCAGCCAAGTTCAGAGCAGCAGCTTCAAAGGGAGATGAAGCTGTGCAGCTTTTTCTCCCCTGAACCTTTCATGTCCTTGCAGCACTGCTGCCTCTTCCTGTGCTCCCCAGGACTGTGGAAATACTACATCCCTCCTTTTCAACTGTTAGCTAGGTATTAAAAATGTAATGCTGACAGGGAAGTGCTCCTGACCGAGCAGTTTTATTGCTCAAGTGCCAGCAAACATTAGGATGTCACTTCTGGGATGCTTTCCATGCCGAAGACAGAAGGAACACAATTACCAAGTAGCAGCAGATTAAAAAAAACCAATTTCAATACAATTTTATGCTTGCAAACCCACTGAAATGCAAGTCATCTGCTCCACCAGGATCCAAGCACCTCCCTCACACCAGCACTACCAGAGAAAACCTGAGAGCAAGAGAGACCCTTCCTAACCAACCCCACTGCTCACAGGCCACATCCTGAACACAAGGACTGGTGCTGCTCACACCTGCTCAGGTCACTAAACCCTGAGTAACCCCACTGGCTGTAGGAGTTATGGAACTGGCAAACTCAGTCTTTTTATTTTAATGTACTACAGGCAGACCACAAACACTTGAGATGACAAACTCTCCCAGGGTTGTACCTCAGCTGGTTTCATGGCATTTGACCCCGTCTGGGGGTTGTGTTAATCACCCACAAACCTCCCTGGCAAGGCAGAGGAGGTTTCTAATCCCCAGGAGCAACGAGGTGCTGGGACAGCACTGCAAAGGGCTGGCTTTGCCAGGCCACCCTTCCTCCTTCAGTGGGGCTTGGGATGTTTGCCAAGGACTGTGGGACATGAACCCCCACAACAGTGGGGCACTGAACTGTGGCACAAACCCAGGCAGTCCTTCCCTGTCCCCACACCTGCAGGAACCCGGGAGGACGTGGGGAACATTTTATAGCAGCAGAACCCAGGACATGAGTCTGCAGAACCTGCAAATAGCACCCAGGGAATAAATGGTTCCACCAATGCTTTCATGTTTCGCCTAAAACTCATATTTCAGAAATTATACCCCTGCAAGTTGTAACCCTTCTGAGAGCTGGGAAGCACAGGCAGATTTTTGGTGGTGGAATGAAGCTGTTTCCATGGTGGTGGTGAAGGAAAGCTTGGCTCTGCACCACCCAGGGAAAGCAGAGCCTCTTCTACACTTCTTGATTCCATCCCCTGTGGCAGTGGGGTTGTTCACAAGCACACAGTGAATAAAGGCAAGAATCTCTTGCCCTGGAAGAGCCCAGAACACAAGCAGTGGTTTTTACCAGATCCCAGTCGATGCTGCGGAAAAACGTGTGGGACTTGATATCAGCAAATCCTGTCTGGGGCTGACAGCCAAGCCTCTCTTTGGGATCCTGTGGACACACACTCCTGTTACACTCTGCAAGCCACTGCAGTCCACCCTTCCCCAGAGCCCACGTGCACAACTCCAGCATTCCCATGACTGTGCAAACTGCTGCTGGGGTGAACATATCACAGCCAGCAAGGGATTCTCATTCTTTTTTTTTTTAAATAAAAGTTTCTTGGAAAATTAATTTTTAAATGATACTTTACAAATTCTCTAAATATAAAAGAGATTTATTCAGTAATGCTTAATTCCTGTCCTTTTCTCCATTAATGATAATAGCCCTACAGATTTCAAGCAGCTTAATTAAATGAGCAATAAGTATTACAGAAAAGAGTTTATAAGCAAACCTACAGTTATCTTTTTCCCAACTAAGTGCAGGCTTTTAAATCAAGTCCGTGCTGTGGAATTCCCTCAGTAAATTTGCAAGTAAGAAATGGTTTTTTTAACATGGAGGATACCAAGGTTTTACAGATTTTCTTAATGGTAAGCAGATTAACTTCTTAACTGTATCGCTTTCAACAGGAAGCTCTGACTTCCAGCTCTCACATGCTAAAAATAAGAGAATGTTATTTACCTTGTTTAAAAATCCTTTTAACACATGGGAAGCCTTGACAGAAAGAAACCTTGGAATCCGGATTGGCTTCTCAAGAATAACTGTTACAGGTTAAAAAACAGCAATATTGTTTTTTGGTCTGTGACACTGACCATGATTTCAACACAAACACTGTTATTATTTCAGTGTGGTACCAGTTGGAAAACGGGAAGGTAAAGTAATTATTTCAAACAATGCAAACAAAAAGAGCTACAGTAATTCAAGGCACTGTTATACTGACATTTGAAGATTTCCTAAGAGACATGTTAACTTCATTATCTTCTGCTACTGTGTGTAAACAGGAAATAAAACTTACAGTGTCCTCAGTATATAGGAAAGGGTGTTTTTAAACAGCAGTTAATTTAATATGAATTAAACATCATGCCAGACTGTGTTACAGAACTGCAGTAACTGGTGTAAAGGAGGTTTTGCCTGTTAAGGAGTGGGCAGCTTCCCAACTCCCCAGTGGAGCAGTGTGGGATAACAGTGGGATGGGAAAGCCTCCTGCCCCATTCCAAGTGCCATTTTCCTCCTCCCTCCCCCCAGAACAACCCCCCAGACCCCGAAGGGCTGTACCTTGGAAGAGGTAATCTTCAGTGTTCATGTCTGGATTGTCAGTGATGATGTCGAACGGGGACCGTCCCGCCATCATCTCGAACATCAGCACGCCCAGAGCCCACCAGTCCACACTGAACCCTGTGCACAAACACACCATCACCTCAAACATCAGCACCCCAGAGCCCACCAGTCCACACTGAACCCTGTGCACAAACACACCATCACCTCAGACATCAGTCCATGCTGAACCCTGTGCACAAACACACACACTGAACCCTGCACACAAACACACCCCATCATCTCCAACATCAGCACGCTCAGAGCCCAGCAGTCCACGCTGAACCCAGTGCACAAACACACCATCACCTCAAACATCAGCACCCCAGAGCCCACCAGTCCACACTGAACCCTGTGCACAAACACACCATCACCTCAGACATCAGTCCATGCTGAACCCTGTGCACAAACACACCATCACCTCAGACATCAGTCCATGCTGAACCCTGTGCACAAACACACCATCACCTC